GAGGCGCCGCAGCCCAGCTGCCGGGGTGGCCCCGCACAGGCTGGCCGAGCGGGTGGAGACGATCTGGCAGATGCGGTGGGTGGCCACGCAGTCTTCATGAGATGGCTCCAGGCCCAGCCCGCTGAGGATCTCGTGGGCTTTCTGCAGCCCTTCTTTCTCCCTGCACATCAAAGAACGAGAAAGGATTCATGCCTGGAAACCCAACTTCTGCCATCTGCAGTGTCCTGGCTTGCTCAGTGGATTGCCCTGGGATGGGTCCTGTTTTCCCCCCAGCACAGATGTCAGGAGATGGGCTGGGACCCCAGGAAACCACCTGGATCCTACTTACTTCTCAATAGCAGAGACGTATCTGGTCTCAAAGTGGCCAGTAGTGAGCAGATCTGGTGTGAGCCTCCCTCCAAACAAGAGCCCTTCCTTGGCCATCTTCACCAGGATGAGTCGGACCAGCTCTCCCATGTACATCCCGCTGATCATCTTCTCAAACCTGCCGACAGGGGAATGTGCTTGGCTGCGTGCACCATGAGGTAGCCACAGGTTGACCTTAAAAATGCTCGGCAGCCTTCCGGGCCCAAATGCAACCTAGGTAATCTCTTCCCAGAGTAGTTTAACCCATCACTGAGAAAATAAAGCCACATTGGTGTAACCATCATTCTGCAAGGAGAACTTATGGCTACCTGAAGGGGGGCTGTCAGTTTGTGGAGACATCCCGCCCCCCCAAATCCCACCTGTGCTGCCAAAAGCCACCTGGGGAATGGGAAATCCATAGGACTTGGATGCGGACATGAGGTGGTGGCACTTGCCTTGGCTGGCAGATAACTTCTTTGGCAGGGGAAAGAACAGAAATCAAGCGAAAGACTCACAAGGGAAGCGGGTGTTGAGTGGCTCAGTTGGGCGTACCAACCCCAATCTGTGATACAGCCCCTGTTTGCATTGGCGTCGCTGGCGCGGCGGAGGACGCAGTGACCTAATTAACTAGGATGACCTCTTCGGTCTCGCTAACGCCAGCGCAACAGGAGGGATGGACAATGCCGAGCAAACCCCGAGCCTGAGCCGAAGCCAAGAATCTGCTTACAACTGTTTGCCAGGGTTGAGCGAGCCCATGTCTATCTCACGGTCGAACTCCGTCCGGATGTCGTTGAGCACGCCATCGTCACCGAAGGCCCCCCACTCCATGTTGATGCACATCCGACCTTCATCCCCTTCCACCAGGTCAATGTGCCTCATCTCCTCCATGTAACAGGCGTTGGTACCAGTACCTGAACCAAGCATGGGGACATGGTGAGAGAGGACGCTGCCTTACCCTTATTCTCCATAATTAGCAACAGCCAAACACCCCATAGAAAGCGAAGATGGAAGAAAACAAACATTGAGAAATGCTGGTTTTCTGACAGTGCTATCACCTCTCTTTTTCCTCCAAAAGACCCTGAAACCGGCAAGAAACGTGCTCTGCTTATGGAGTTCATGGAGAGATGGACCCCAGTTCTCCCCCCTTGCTCACCAACGATGAGGCCAACTTCACAGTTATGATCGTCGTAGCCGCAGGTCATCATGGTCCCAACGGTGTCGTTCACCACGGCCACAATGTCAATGTCAAAGTCCTGAGATGGTGGAGAGGAGAGAGATCGAGTCAGCATGGCCAAAACAGACCGAAACATCTCTGCTGTCGCGGGGGAGCCAAGGTGCAGAGCCTTCAGTATCCTGTCCCAGGGAACCGTGTGCCCCTGTCCCCCCACCTCACGAGGTGCCCAACCTCTTACCCCTCTTTTCTTGATGGACTTGCGCAGCATTGACACCACGTCCTTCCCCTCCACGCTGCTGCATTTGAAACCCTTCGTCCACGTAACGAGGATGCTCTGCGGAGAAACAGGGAGAAGGAATGCTTGGAGGACAGACCCACGGAGCCACATGTCTCGAGGGCTCCCTCGAGAGGGCTGGACAGACACACGGCACCGCAAGGCAAGGGCTGGACGGACACACAGCACCGCAGGCGAGTCCCTCCCTGTTATCAGCTTGCGAGCCACGCTATCAGCAATAATTTCCACATCTCTGCGCAGATAAAGTTTATGGCCGCAAAATAGGAGTCGCTTGCTGCTCCTGCTGGCGGGAGGGAACGCGGTTCCCGTGACTGGGTTTTATGGAGCCCTGGAGCAAAACCTGTTCCTGAATGTACAGAGAGCTCCTTGACCCAGACCCTGCGGGATGGGGGTCTCGCCGTCCCCGCAGCCGGAGGCAGGGGGTGCGTCCCCACCCAGCACAGCCATTGCAGCCGCCCGGCCGGAGGCTGCGCTGAGCCCTGGGGGAAGGGAAAGGACTCGATGGCATTTGAAATCTCCAACCTTACAGCCCCAGATGCCTTCTCGAGGCAAGCACCTGCCCTGCCTTACAGATGGGGAAACTGAGGCACGGCGCTATGCAAACTGGACGTGGTCACTGGGGACGGATGCTGCTTTT